GATGGATGGATGGATGGATAATTAAACTTTCATTTCATGTTTTCAAGAGGCAAAGCGTGAAATGGACATGGTGAACCTGCGGGAGGGAGAGGGAGGGAGGATATAATACAGGAGACATAGCATGATGGAGATTGTGAAAACAGACAGAAGGAGTCAGAGCGCTAAAATCATTGAAATCAGGAAGATGGAACACACCAGGAAAGATAAACAACCTAAATCTGACTAAGACAGGAGAAGCAAAACTGAACACGATGTACACAGGACAAGTGAATATCGCAGAGACCTAAACTTAAGAGACACTACTAAACATACTGAAAAGGTAAACAAACACAGAGATATAGGTGAAGTGTGGGAGAGGGCGGAAAAGAGAGACAGAAAGAAAGAGAAAGGGAGCGAGAGAGACACAGTATAAAGAGAGAGACAGAGAGATGCAAAGCAACTAACATTACAGAGCAAAAATTAAGAACCATAACAGATTTCAGATGCACAAGAGAATAATATACACAGAGACTAAGACCAATATTTAATAATTTCAAAAAGTCCAGAATCAATCTCAATATACTTGGTCAACGAAGATACGATGAGGATAAATATAAAGAGAAAGAGCTGTCTAGTTAGTTATTGTCATGGTCTTTGTTCTTTGATCTAAACCCCTCAAAAATGGCAGATTACCTTGGGTAAAAGACCGAAAGCTGAGGCACAAATTTAAAAAAAAGTTGCCTCAACAAAAGGACACTTTGGAAAGGGGTGGGTGCTCCCCTCTGCACATGCCTGAGCTGGATCCAGAGCAGCTGGGTCCACAGCAGCTGGATCCACAGGTTTAATCTTGTAGTTGTCCTGACCCGGCCCACCCAGGAGCTGTTCACAAGCCCCCCCACCCTGAGATGCACTGGCATAGGTTTGCGATCTAAGAATGCATCTTTTTTGTTTTGTGTTTTTTTACATATCGGTTATTGTATTAATAGTTGATTTATTTATAAATTAATGTATTAATGTAACGTATTAATGGCACATTTCTGTAGGCTGTCAGGCTGTCTGATCACAGAGGAAGGCTGTACTTCTCTAACTTCAGCGCTGAGCTCCAACCCCTCCCATCTGAGAGAGCTGGACCTGAGCTACAATCATCCAGGAGACTCAGGAATGAAGCTGCTGTTGGCTGGACTAAAGGATCCAAGCTGGAGACTGGACACTCTCAGGTATGGGGAGAATGACTGATAGAGGAGGAAGAGCTGGAAACATTTCCAGTGAAAACTGAAAGCCTTTTCACTGGAACATTTACTGTGTCCTTCACTCACTTCCTGTTTGTTTCTCAAAACTTAAAATGTACAGCTCTATCACTTCTGACATAAATGAAGTAAGAAAACTTCATTTTTCTTACTTAAGGAATGTATATAGGGTTACTGAAGTTTGGCTAGCTGGCATCTAACGATGTAAACACAGCAAAGACAAGCTGGAATAAAAAGAATAAACGCAAACTTCTTTTTCCTCAATAAATCTTAACTTGAGGGTCTTTGATGGTCAGAGACAAATGCAATTTAATAGCAGGAACAGATGCTGAAAACAGGCCAAACTTCAGTCAGAAGAATACCTAAGGCAATCAGTTCTCAGCACGAGGTCAGTCATTTATAAACTGTGGCATAATTTGGATTACTTGCTACAAAAAATTCCTAATCCTCAGCTTCCTGCACCCATTGATATGTTTGTTAGCCTCAGAGTGATTCTTTTTATGACTTTATAAAAAATTTGCTGTCTGGCAAACCATGAGCTGATGATTAGTACGATTGATATGCAAAAAGAATTTGGTCATTAATTGGTTTCCAGCACTGCATACAAAGATACTTTCCTGTTGCACGTCGACACACACTTAACTGACATTAGAGGGGAGATCTCACAGGCAAGGAAAAAAATATTCTTCCTGGGTACTACTTGTATCTTCATCATAAACGAAAGACAGCCTCACAACACCCACATGTGACAATAATAAACAATAGCTTTAAATGATGAAAAGAGGTTTAGTAGCCCTGAAACCCATAGGATATAAACGCATCACAAGTTAAAAAAGAAAAGGGCATTAATTAAATCTGTCAATGCTGACAGAATTTAGGAAAAGAGAGTTCACAAGTTTATTTACAATCCAACAGTGCAATATATATACAAGGTGGCTCCAGGGAAAGGAACGGGGGAAAATAGTCCACACTCTCGCTCCTCTTCAGCCACTTATGCTCATGCTCCTCCAGACTCCATACCACTGGAACAAACAGGTATCCAGGAAATACAGGGATGGGTCCAGGGAATTTATATTGAAAAGACATGAGTTCACAGTTTGAATAAGTCATATTTCATTCAATACAATGGTGTACTGACAGATCCAGGATCAGTCCAAATCATCAGCAGTTTGATCCACGTATGGATTGAAGTGTATTTCTGAAAATGTTGGACTGTTTCTTTATCAGTGTCTAACAGTATGTAGACAATGATAAACATGAGAGCGATGTAATGTCCATGTGTGCATGCTGAAAGAGACTGTGCTGGTCTGAACCCCCTCCTCCTTTCAGGTTGGAGCCTGCTGGAGTCCGATGGTTGACACCAGGTCTGAAGAAGTGTAAGTGTGTTTTTAATGTGATTCATGAAAACAAAGCAGCACACATTCAACCATCTTCAAACTGTCACATCACTCATACACATCTCTGATGTCAGGAGTCATCATCAAAGTGTAAATCAATGAACAGCTGATGGATCAATAACTGCAGCTGGATTGTGTTTGTTCTCTCCATCAGATTCCTGTAAACTCACAATCGACGCAAACACAGTACACACAAACCTCCAACTGTCTGACAACAACAGCCAGGTGACATATGTGGAAGAGTTTCAGTCATATCCTGATCATCCAGACAGATTTGATATTTGTCCTCAGCTGCTTTGCAGAAATGGTCTGACTGGTTGCTGTTACTGGGAGGTTGAGTGGAGAGGAAATGTTCGCATATCTGTGAGTTATAGAAGAACCAAAAGGAAAGGAGAGAGTCCTGACTGTGCGTTTGGATGGAATGATCAGTCCTGGAGTTTGTGGTGCTCCCATTATATTCCTCTTTGTGTCTGGCACAATAACATAAAAACATCCATCTCCTCCACCTCCTTATCCTCCTCTGACTCTAACAGAGTAGCAGTGTATGTGGACTGTCCTGCTGGCACGCTGTCCTTCTACAGAGTCTCCTCTGACACTCTGATCCACCTCCACACCTTCAACACCACATTCACTGAAACTCTTTATCCTGGATTTACAGTCTGGTCTGGTTCGTCAGTGACTCTGTGCAGATTTGAGTGTAAAGAGTGTCCTCCTGTTAGAGAAACACTCTGACTGTTGAACAGATTGTTCAATCTGTACATATCTGTCTCTTTTACTCAGTAACACGTTTTCAGATTCATGGATTCAATCAGTTCTTAAAAAGTTATTTTAAACTGTTCTAAATGATTCCTTGTAAACTTCTTCCTCTTCAGTCCTTTAAAAATGGAAGCTACCATTATTCCAGGGTCCACATGTTATTTTTCTCTCTTTTTTAACTCAAAGCATGAAATTTACAGTGTCTCTAATGCTGTGGTTTTTTGAGTCACTTTTGAAAGCAGGACAGGAAGGAAGGTCTGAACAGAGAAGATAAGAACACAGTTTTTGAGAAGAGATTTGGGAGTTTCAGAGGTACACCTAAATTTAGCACAGCAACTCTACTACATCATTTCTATAGCTCTGGTGACCGGATTGTTCAATAACAGTACAATGATGTTGGTTTATGGAAAGATGTTCCTAAATAGATTTCAGTCTAAGCTGCTGTGGTTAAATTCAGTGTATTTACTGAATTAACTGATTTTTTTTTTGTTTTAGGAGGAGTGAAATCTTCAGCTTATCCCCGTTTACGAATAGTAAATAAAGAATAACGCCCAGTCTTATTATGGTAAATGTAATACAAAGGTCTACAGATGAGTATATTTACATATGATTTTGCAAATGATGTTAAAATAGTTGTTTTTAAAAAAAAGTAATCAAATAATGTAATCTGTGTGATGAAATGAGCGTGCTCTTTAGACTTAGTGTTGATTCTGAATCAAATAGAAAAGCCTGTACTGGTCTGGTGTCAAGAGAAGTGGAAACTCATTATCAACTTTCTCAAGAGAAATATGAGTGGTGCAAGCCTGTGAAGAGGATATAAAAAATGTTGTCTGAGAATATTTAGTTTTTATTTCTTATACTTTGGTGCAGTGATAAGAGATAATATTTTAGAATCTATATTTTAACCACTGCCAAATCACTGTGGAGTTAAAATTTGGAAAGGTAATTGTTCTTTTTCTCTGCTCACTTTTGTGGAGTTGATTTGAAGCCGAGAAGAGTTGGATTACTTTCAACTGAGTAACTGCTACCATATGTGGGCTTGCGCTAGCAAGACTGGGAGAAGAATGCATTACTGGCCAGGACTTGACTCTCTCCCTACTCTCTCAACCATCCACAGACCAGTAGACGAAATTGTAATCACCATAGAGTAGAGTAGGAAGTTTATGGAATTTTTTTAATTAATCTAACTGTATAATTGAGATCATCTTATTAAGCGGTTTTCTTTGCTCCTGCAAAATTGCTTAAATAAATATTCCATTTGGATTTAAAGTCTAAATTGTCGAAATTCCCTTTATGGTTTTAATAGTACAGGTTCAAACTTGTGTTTGAGTATTGCATCTTTAAATGGCTCTTTCCAAAAGAGAACCCTTTTCATGTCTTTTTCCACTCAAAGCTTCACATTGGATATCAGTATGCGGTGTTTCTCTGAAGCTTAGTTCACAACCAGCTCCTTTGCATTTTCAACAAGAAATCCAGCTTCATGTTTATCTTTCATCAAAGCAGAGAATGCTGAGCTCAGCAAATCCATTTATTATAGACCTTGTTAGAATCTCAATGAGAAAAGCAGCATTTATTATGATGTTGTCAAAGGAGCTTGCAAAGAAAAGCGTCTGGACTTCTTT